TCCTCGGGGAGGGAGGGTGGAGGCAGAGTCTAAGTGAATAGCTGCACGTGTGTAGCCTTATCAGGCTATCCCTGTCCCTGCTAAGGGGCAGGCACCAGGCTGCATGACCCCTCCCAGGCCACCCAGGCTGCAGAAAGATTGGAACCAGCTAGAGGGCAGAGTGTCAAAGTTCCCCCAGAGCTGGCCGGGGCCCTCAGCATTGCCCAGAGTCCTAGGCTTCAACCCCATTACCAGGAGTCTCCACAGCCCCGCCCTCACTTGGGAAGTGCGGCGGCGCTCCCACCGAGGGTTTGGATCCCACATACAGACCGGTTCCCGCTCACTGGCTGAGCGAGGCGCGGGAGCAACACTGAGGGTTGCTATCCGTTGCCGGACACGGAAAAAGACAAAAAGGAAAAAAAAAAAAAAGGATGGGATTAATGCTCTTATCAAAGGGGTTGAAGCAGCACCCTAGCCCCTTCGATCTCTTCTGTCACATGAGGACACAGCAAGAGGCGCCATCTATGAAACAGAACAGGCCCTCACCAGACAGCAAATCTGCTGGCGCCTTGATCTTGGATTTCCCAGGCTCCAGAACTGTGAGAAATAAATTTCTATTATTTATTAATTACCCAGTCTAAGGTATTTTGTCATAGCAGCCCAAACGGACAGTACTCATTCATTCATTCATTCATTCACTTTTAAACAAACATAAATTGAGGGCCCAGCTGTATTCCAGGCACTGTTCTTAGGGCTAGGGACACGGCAAGCAGGACAGGCAGGCAAGTTCCCTGCAGTCTTGGAACTTATCCCCAATTAAGCAGATAAAGAAACTGAGGCCTAGAAAGGAGGCAGGAGACCTTAAAAGGGGGCTTCAAATGGGGCAGGAGATCCCTCTCTTCTGTGAGTAGTCCCTGAAGCACTTGGAAGAGTGACAGGCACAGTGTCGGCAGCCACCTGAGGTCCCAGGAGGTCAGGGAGAGAAGCTGTGCTCTCTGGACTGGAGCTGGCACAGACAACCCCAATCTCGTGCATGTTCTGAGACTTGGCCAGGGGTACCTTCCTGATGGCCCCCACTCTACTCCTGCTTGTGCACCCCCCATACACACATGACCGTGGGCAGACTGGGGCCTATGGCAGTAAGTGCTGGGGGTGGGGCGAGACGAGAGGCTGCACATTTCCATTTTAGTCAGTGATAACCCATGCACACTAAAGACTCATTTTTAAATCACATTCCTTCCACCGTCTTCATGAAGTCTGGGTGACGGTCTCACAGCCTCCATTTTTCAGGAGGGGAATCAGATCAGAGAAGCTGAGCATCTTCCCCAGGGCACGCAGCCAGCCTCGGGGATGTGGGAGGAGGGGGACTCAGAACAGAACCCCCAGCAGCCAGGAAAATTGCCCCATATCTGCCTTCCATACAACCAGGCCTGGCCACTGCCTTCTTTCCACTTTAACAGGGGCTGGAGTGGGCAGAAAGGACCAAGCCAGAGGAGGAGCAGTGTAGGGGGTGGGGACGGCTCCACCTGTCACAGCTGCCAGCAGTGCTGGAAGGACAGAGCCACCCTCCCCACTGCCTCCACCCCCCGCCATAGTTCTCATCCATTGTCATTGCACTGTCTCAGCGCTGCTATATTTAAGACCGTGCAAGCTCCAGGACACGTTCTTCTCTCAGTGCCTGTGCAGCCGAGAGCAAGAAGAGACCAAGGACCCTCTCACCCTCTGGAATCTTCTCCCCAGAGACTCGTAAGTGGGTACGGCTGCTTCTGGGAGACACCTCCGGGAACAGGAGTGGGAAAAACACCTCCAGAAAGTGAGACCCTCAGCTGTCCATTGGGGACTGATTTCTTTGGGTGCGTGTGCGTGTGTGCATGTGGGAAAGGATGCCTGGGAGATGTGTGCTTAGGCAGTGCCCCAAGTGAAAGTAGGAGGGGATCCTAGAAACCCCTGTCCCATCCCACCATTCTGTGTGGCCCTGGGTTTTCCGAGCTGAGTCTTCTATGATGCGAAAGCTGCAAAACAAGACCTATGGGACCGCCCTGGGAACTGGAGTCGTTCCTGCAGTGGCGCAGCAGTGGGCAGGGACCGGGAGACCCGGCACACCAGAGCAGCGCTGGCTGAGCCCTGCTTGGCAGAGAGCAAGCCCTCGGTCCCAAACCTTAGAGCTGCCGAGGATCTCATCCAGCACCAGGGTTGACTGGCAGGAAACCCAGGCCCAGACTGGGAAGGAGTCGCCTCAGCTCATCAGTGGCCGGGTCAGAATTCTGGCCTCTCGGAAGCTGGTGGAGCCACAGGCTAGGAACGTGTCCCACTCGGCAGCATGTGTCTGCCTCCGCCCTCCCCTCCCACCCCCAACACAGCTCCTCTGCCATCAGTTCTCCGAGGAGCCACTCGGCCTCTGCGCACGTCTCTTTCCCTCCTGGGGAAGAGGAGAGGCCTTCTAGGGAGTGCCTGTCAGAGGGCCTGGAAAGCAGATTGAGGCTTGGGAGGAAAATGGAGACGGGTCAGGAAGGTCACATGGTGGGGAGAGGGGTTGGGAAGGTCACCCCTAAGAAGGGGCAAGGGGGTGTGGTTTCCCATCCTGGAACACACACCCCGGCCCCCTCTCTGGCAGGCACACAAAGCCTTCAGGGAAGAGGGCACCCTGGTCCTGTGGGAACAGGGCAGGGGAGGCTACAAACTTGTCCCTGCTTAATCCCATGCATCAGTCAGTGCTTTAAAAAGCATCAGTGGCTCATCCACTAAAGCTAGGGGTCTGGTTGCGGGAGGCCCCGGAGGTCAGGGCTGAGCGCCAGGCCTTGGCACCACAGTGCTATCAGGAACAGGGCATCCAGGGAAGGGAGCCAGGGTGAGGCCAAAGAATGCTACCCCTCAGCTGCTAAGGCCAAGGCCACAGTGTCCCAGGAAAGCTGGGGGGCCTTGCTCTGCCTCGCGTGGTACCCAGCAACTCTTCTCTGGGGCTGTGAGGAGGAACGTGTGGGATGAGCAGGGCTGGCCATTTCTCCTGGTGCAAGAGACCCTCTTCCACCAGGAGGGGCCAAACAGGTGGCTGTCCCTTCGTGTTCGGCTGGGGTTCTTGGCAGGAGCCAAGGGTGCTTTAGGGGCAGCCCTCGTCCAGGCCAACACTGCAGTGATCCACTCTCTCTTTCCTCATGTCCACAACTGTGGACACCCAAAGGGAGCCAACTCTGAGGAACTGGAAGGAGTAAATACCCACAAAGATTAGCTCTCAGCAGCCTGATCCTCTGCACCCACAACAGCCCCTTCCAGGCCTGGAATCTCCAGTGAAGTCAGTGGCTCCATGTTGTGGACTTACAGACATGGGCACACAGGTGCTGCGTTCACACCCAGGTTGGAAAACACACACACACACACAAACCCCGCCACCCCCAGAGGCAGACAGGACAGGGCTGAGGTGGTAGTCTTCTCTTCTATTTCCTTTCCCAAGCCCAAGCAAGAACCCTCCCAGGTCAGAGACCTGCCGACCAGGATTCCCACCTGGAGGAGGTGTGAAAACTCCAAGGATTCCAAGTATCCTGGAGCTTTAGCTCAGCGGAGCCCTCAGAGACCCAGCAGGGACACTGAGGCCCAGATCTGGGAGAGCATTTGGTGCAAAAACCTCAAGCCAGCTGGCACCGGCCTCCCACGCCCCTTGCTCACCTCTCCATACCCACAGATTTGTCCTCTGAGCCCTGGGCCCCCTCCAGACCAATTTGACCAAACCCTACTGGGCACCATCTGGGTCCTAGCCCTGAGCACTGGAATACAAAGAGGATCCACACACTGTGATCCCCTTACAAGAGGAAAGGCTGCATGGCCCTCTGTGTCCCCAGCCTCACCCAGGTCTGGTCTTGAGTAGATGTGACACAGAGGTCAAGAGGGCTGGGAGCTGGGCAGACCTGGCCGTCAGTCATGGCCCCATGACCAACCAGCTGGCGGCCTTGGGCAGGCGGCAACCCTCCTCATCAGTAAAATGGGGTCATCACACGCCGCCATCAGCTGGGTTATCGTGGGGACGGGGGTAACGCATCTGAACACGCCTAACATGGGCCAGGCGCACAGTGAGCACTCACTATTGTTATTTTTCGTTCACTTCCGATCTTGCTGAAGAGACAAGCTGAACCGACAGACACGAAATAATCAGGCAGTAAGAGGAGGCATTTTCTGAGTCAGAGCTAAATTGTGGAGTGCAGATAGAAAGTGCACTCGGGATTACAGGAGGGAAAGCTCCAGGTGGCCTGCAGTTTCTCAGCAGGCTTCTTAGAAAAATAATGCTAATGTCTAACACATGTGTCATATCCACCAAGTGCTAGGCACTCATCGAAACTTTACAGCCACGCTGGGAGGTTGGTAGACCCATTTTACAGATGAGGAAACCAAGTCACAGAGTCTCGCCCATGGTCACACAGTTATAAGCTGGAATGAGGAGCTGGGATCCCACCGCGGACTGGACCCGGAGTCTCCACGCTTAACCCTTGTGCTAACTTAAGCATTTTCAGGTTGGGCTTTGAAGCATGGAGACGGTTAAGCAGACCAGGAGGGGAAGCCAGCGTGGGCCAAGGCTCAGAGGCAGGACTGAGTGTGGAATATGCAGGCAGCGCAAAGACACCTGCCCACTCTGAGTCATAGAGACAGCCTCGGACGTCACAGCGTTCAGTCACTCATTGGGAAGCAAAGGCTCAGAGGAGGGAGAGCCCTGCCCCAGATCATGCAGCAGGCAGGGGCAGGGCTGCAGCCAGAAACAGCTGGAAGCAGCTGGAGCCAGGGGCCTACGTCCCATTGTGGGGCTCTGCTCACCCAGCTGGAGGAGCTTGTGGGGTGGCGGGAAAGCCAGCCTCAGATCACGAGGCCTGCCTCTGTCCCTCTACCTCTCGGGCCCCCGTTCCCTTCTTTGCTACTAGAGAAGCCCTAACCCTGTCAACCTCCCAGAGATGTGGGGAGGACCACGTGGGAAGGGATGGGCAGACACCTGGTGGAATGACCTTGTGCCTTGGCCTTGACAGGTTGTTGCTCTCATAGCCATGACTCTGCCCCACAGCCCTGGAAATGTGGGGGAGTCTCGGCCCCCCCAGGCCATGGAGGTCCACAGGCTGGAGCACCGGCAGGAGGAGGAGCAGAAGGAGGCGCGGCAGCACAGCCTGCGCATGGGGTCCTCGGTGCGGAGGCGGACCTTCCGCAGCAGGTGGGAGCACCAGGTCCCACACTGGCCACTGCCCTACATCCAAGACCCCAGTCTGAGGGGGGAGGCACAGCCCTGCCCTCTGGAGACCCCAGTCTGAGGGGGGAGGCACAGCCCTGCCTGCCAGCACCTTGAGGCTGAGGTGGGTGGATGCAACCCTAACCTCAGGGAGCCCCAGACAGATCCCCAGCCAATCCTACCAGAGCCATTAACTTCCCTTCTCCTGGGAGCAGTGAGGAAGAGTATGAGTTCAGTGCCGCAGACTACGCCCTTGCAGCCGCCCTGGCTCTGACGGCCTCCGCAGAGATGTCCTGGTGAGTCAGATGACCTCCCCAGAGCCCCGTCTGAGGCGCGGTCATCCCCTGCCTCCCTGCTGGGCTCACACCCTCAGCCTGGAGAACCCGCCCAAAGTGACATCTCTAGAATAAGGGGCTGGACAGGAGTTCACGCCCAGGGCTGTCTTACCACGAAGCCCACCACACCACCCTCTGGAAGGGTCCACAGGCAGCACAGACAGACCATCCCCAAGGGGGAGGGTGGGGTCCCCACTTCAATGGGCTCCACGTGGTGGGGGAGGGGCTGGGGATGGGGAGAGAAGGAGCCAGTAAAGCAGCCCCAGGCTTCACACACGTGTCCAGAGACTGGGGAGGCCTCGGCGTGTGACAGCAGTGAGGGGCAGTGTCTGGCTTTGGGCACAGCCCTGGGCTGGGAAGCCTGGGCCATGGTCCTGGCAGGTCTGAGGCAAGCCACTGAGCCTCCATTCCCTGTCCTGTAAATGGGGAGACTAACACCCGTCCGCTTGATTATAGTGAAAAGAAGACGAACAAAGGTTTGTCCCCAGGTGACCTGGTAAGCCACTGGGCAGGAGGGAGGGGTCCTCGCCCTGCCTCCATGCTCCGGGCCTGTGAGTTCCTTCCCCGGGAATTCTGCTGCCTTAGCAAAGCTGCAGACCCACAGCCCCCCGGGCTCGGCCCACCCCCCAGTAGAACAGCAGCTGCCTGGAGACTCAGGCCTGGGTTATTCTTAGCTGCTAGGCAGCTAAGGGCTGGGAGGACAGGGCCACTGGGGAGCCAGCCCTTGTAAAAATATGATTCTGATGGCAGCTGCTCCAAGCTGGGCGACTCCAGGGTTGGAGGTTGACGGCAGGAGGCAGGACAAGGATGGGGGGCCAAGAGCAGAAGGGGGGTGGGGAGGGCAGGGGCCCTTCAGTGAGAAGCTCAGACCTGAGCGGGAGCCTGTGTTCCAGGCCTAGCTGTCTCTCTCTCTCGCTGCTAACTCAGTGTATGGCTCAGCCATGTCTCTTAAGCTTTCTGGTCCTGCCTCGGTTTCCTGTCCTGTAAAATTGGTTGAAGACTTCCTGTCTAGCTTGCATGTGGTGAGGATTTAATGCTACAACAATTTAGAAGCCCTCAGAACTTGAAAAGGACTGTGAAAGCAGGAGATGCCTTCCTGGGAGCATAACCATAGCAGGACCCAGAGGCTAGGCCTTGCTGGGGAGAGCGAGGGGAGGGGGCAGGGGTCTCCTGAACAGGGATGGTGGGGATGGGGGTGTGGCCGCGTCCTGGGACTCGGTTTTACCACAGAAGGAAGCGTGTCATTCACACAGTTGAGCTACTGTTGACTGAGTTTCCCTGGGTCGAAGGTCCATTGCCAGGTACCTTGAGGGACGAGGAAGGGGTTTCAACAAATATTTACCAGGAGAGTCATCTGTCTCAGGCCCTGACTCTGGTACTGGGGCCTGGAAATGAACCAGACAAGCCTCTCCCTCAAGGAACTCTTAGCCCAGGAGAGAAACAAATGTCACACACAAAGAAATACGTTCAAGGGTGATATTTGAGATCAAAGAGTGGGGGCAAAGAGGCAGAAGTGGCTGCCGCGGCCTGCAGGATCCAGGAAGGCTTCTCAGAGGAGGTGGCATATGAGCCGGATCTTGAGGGTGAACAGACTGTGCTCTGACAGGAGAGAGAAGACAAGCACATTAATAACCAAGAACACAAAGGAAAAAAGCAACAGCTTGTACTTGAACCCACTTGACATTGACCCAGCACTTTTCTCTCATTTGAGCCTCAGGGCCACTCCCGAGGTAGGGACTATCTCCCCATTTCACAAGTGAGGATATCAAAGCTCAGAGAAGTAGTGTGACTTGTCTAAGGTCACACAGCCAGCGTGAGCCAGGATTCAAACTCAAGTCTCCTGCCTCCAAGCCCATAGCTCCTTCCGCTGGCCAGGAGAGTAAGAAAGTGATCATTACAGTTGTTTAAAGCACACATCGTGCTGCACAAGTCAGAGAAACCGAAAGCACCTAGGCCAGGAGCAATCAAGAAAGGCATCTTGAGGGAGTGGGCATTGGGGCTGGTCATTGTCAGCTGGCATTTATTCAAAACAGTGTGCCTGGCACCATGCCGGGCACTGGGTTCCTCAGGAACTGAGGCAGTTCCTGTGTGTGAGTTGCTGGTCCCAGGAAGAAGACTGCTTTCAACGCCCAGCCTGGGCTAGGTGGCGGTCAGCACCCCAGCTGTCCTGCCCGCAGCCAAGCCCTGCCTCCCCTGGCACTGAGGCCACATCTAAGGCATTCCATGGAAGCCTCTCAGAAGGGGGGCTTGTTTCTGCCCCTGCCAACAAGGTTGCCACAGCAGGGAGCTGAGCACTCCTTACAAGTGGTGGAAGCCAAAGCCAGGCCCACCTCCAGCCCCAGCGACTTGGGTAGCCCTGCATGCCTGGCTATGCAGATCGGGTTCCCCACCATCGATCACCCGGGCAAGGCCACACATGGCCCCGGGACTGGCCTCCAGGGGTTCCATCCAGACCCTGGTAGAGCCCCAGCCCCAGGTCAAAAGATCCTGGATCATATCCATTCAGTGATTATTGAGCACTTTCTGAACGCAGAGGCACTGAGAGGACTCAAACACACAGCCTTAGCCTACCGAGGCAAACTCGTAAAGCACTCAGCTGGCACCAGAGGGTTCAGAAAACTGAACTAGAATCAGTGTCCCTGAGAAAGGATGCAACTTGCCATGTGGGGCCAAGGAGGGATTTATTCACAAAAGATATTCACAGATAGGGAGGAGCATCCCTGCATGGGGCACCATGGGAGGCAAGCCTCCAGTCAGGGTGTTCAGGGAACCCCAGCACCCTGAGGGGTGCCAAGGGCCTGGGCCAGGGGGACAAGGAGGTAGAGACAAGAGCAGAGGAGGGGATGTGCTGGGAGGTGGGCTGGGGCCAGACTGCGGGTCCTTGAAAGCCCAGCCAAGGGATCCTGGAGACAGTGGAGAGCCAGGGACCAGCACCCACAGCACTTACCTCCAGGGTCAGTGACAAGGCGAAGCTTCCATGGCATGCCTGGGGGGCTCGAGAAACTGCTGAGGAATGAGGTATTAGAAATTCCAGTCTCCTGTGTCTCTGGCCAACAACAGAGCACATTAGGTGAGGCCCACTCTGGCCATGTTCATGCTGCAGAAACAGACCTTGGCCACGAATCGAACTGATGCCAGTTACAATCCATCTCTGAGGCCAAGCATCCTTAAAAAGTAAAGTCTAACACCAAAATATGTGAGAAAAAAAAGATGTAGATAAATAATAAAAATCTCACTCTTCTATGAGGGCCTTTCTGAGCCAGGGGCTTCTTGCTAAGCTGTCCCATTTAATGCTCCATTTTATTATTGGCTGCCACTAAGGATAGTCCACATAGCCTGTGCCTTCAAGGGACTGACCATACAGGCTGGAGACTGAGGCCCAGAGACTGAGCAGGATAAGAGTTGAGGTCTCCGGCAAGCCAGGCTGTGCCCAGAGCTGCTTTTTCCAAGAAAAGCAGAGAGGCTGGCCAGGCTGAGGTGTTTAGAATGTTCCCCACAAGTGGGGGGGGGGGGGGGGGTCTGATCCAGGCCCCCAGGCCTGGGAGAGCTGGACAGATAGGGTGCCCAGATAACCACCCCCTCCCTGCGGGAAACCTAGTGTGCTCCTTTTGGAAGAGGGTGCAGCCTGGGGGCTGTGTAAGGGGCATGGGTGCTGCACTGTTAGGTAGCCATGGAGACAAACAGGGCGTTTCAGGAGCCAGGTCCCAGGAAGGTGGCCCACTGAGGCCGGGGTGCCCACTCTCTGTGAGGCATCCTCTTCAACCACAACACCACCCCTGGGCAGAGAGAGACACGTTCACCCCGTGAGACTGTTCACTCAACAGCCTACGGGACACAGAGGCCCAGAGTGGGGGACTGACTTGCCCAAGGTCACATAGCAAGCTGGGTCAAGAACCCAGGCCCCCTAACTTTCACTGACACTCATTTGCCGGCCTGACTCCTTAGGCCTCCAGACCCCCAGGCCTCCCAACTGCCCAGTCCGCACAACAGGGAGAAAAAAACCTGAAGTCACAGAAAACAAAGGCGGTATCCAGGGCAGGCTGATCCACTTCACCACTCTTGGGAATTGCCGGCAATTTAAAGATACTAATAACCCGGCCCCACCCCCAGAAATTCTGATTTCATTGATATGGGATAAAGCCTGGGCATGGAATTTTGGGTTCGTTTTTGGGGTTTTGTTTGTTTGTTTGTTTTTAATGGGTTAAATCAGATAGAAGTGAATTTTTCTTTCATATAAATGTCTGGATGCAGACAGCATGGAGCTGCCAGGCACCTCTGCCCCACAGATTCCGAGGGACCCAGGCTTCCTCTAGATCACTGCCAGCGGGTGCAGCCCTAATCTTTGAGGTGCAAGATAGCAGCCGTCACAGCCTTGTTCCTGCCACAGGACATAGGGAAAGATGACCTAGAAGAGGCAAAGGTGTCATCAGAAGCAGCCACATGATACTTGTCTTCACTTGCTGTTGTCAATACTTAGTCCTATTCCCACACCTGGCGGAAAGAGAGGCAACGAAATACGTTATGTATTGGGGGACCTAGGAGTTTCTGATGTAAATTCCCAAAGGTTCATGTTTAAAACCCTGGCAAGGAGATTTTTGAAAGCTCCTTGGGTGACTAACAAAAGACAAAAAAGAGAAAGCCAAAAAGGCTTTACCTACCTTATCCCATGTAATCATCACAGCAGCCCTGCGAGGCTGGTGTTATTATACTCCCATTTCACAGGTGAGGACAAATGAGGGTCAGAGCAGTGAACGTGCTGCCCTGGGTCTCACAGGCAAGGAAGCAGCACAAAGCTGAGATTGCAATCCAGGTCTGAGGGGCTCCCGGCCCTTCCTGCTCGGAACCACTCTGCCTGCCATAGACCACTGTGTCTCCACAGGTACAAAAATGATGTGCGAATTGATCCCCGCTTCAGTCCTGCTGGAAAGTACCGAATCACCAACAACTATGGGCTGCTGACCCTGGAGATTAGGAGGTGAGACACTGAACCCGGAGAGACCCATGGCCCCCAGGCGCCACCACCACTGAGGCCACAGCAGGATCCAGAACCCTTCCTCCTAGCTGTTTCCTGAGTTTGCTTCATCTTCCAAAGTATCTGGGGTACTTGTTCAAATACTCATTCTAGGGATGGACCCCAGAGATCCAGATTACGTAGCTCTGGAGTGGGGCCCAGGAATCGGTATTTAACACACATACACCCCACATGATTTTCGACACCTTGGAGCACACAATGTGAAATTTGGACTCAGAGACTGAATGCTGAGCTAGGCATGCTGGGGAAAATCCTTGCTGGGTGAGAGAAAACACACGTACATACACGCACACATGCACACACACATGCACACACACATGCACACACACATGCACACACACATGCACACACACATGCACACACACATGCACACACACATGCACACACACATGCACACACACATGCACACACACATGCACACACACATGCACACACACATGCACACACACATGCACACACACATGCACACACACATGCACACACACATGCACACACACATGCACACACACATGCACACACACATGCAAGGGGAAGCAGCCGGAGGGGAGAGAGTCAGACATGCCTTTTAGGAGATGGTGAGCCTTGAGCATGATTTTGAAGGAAGAGCAGGGTGCACAAAGAAGGGCCATCTGGGAATGCAAAAATACAGACCTCCCAAAAGTATGTATTGTTCATACAGGCCTCCACGTGTTGAGCTCCTCCCAGATGCCAAACCCTGTGCTAAGCACTTTTTTAATATGATCACCACCACCATACTTTCAGGGAAGTTCTGTTATCCCCATGTTACAGGTAAGGAGAAAAGCTCCTAAAGGCTAAGGGTCTTGCACAGCTAGACAGGGCAGGCTTGGGTTGGAGCCAGTTCTCTTGTTATTGGTTCTTTCCAATATACCAAACTCTCCCCCTCAACCAACTCAGGCTTCAGAAACAAAGAGGAACAGGACATCGATCCTACCCTCCAGAAGCAAATGGGGACACGTGGACATAAATACTTGACCATAAAAGGCTACAGCAGGGAGGTGCCCCACGGGCTGCACAGTCAGGGAAGGTGTGCGGGGCCAGAGGGATGGCTCTTGAGGCAAGAAGGATTCCCACCCTGAGTGACCAGGGGGAAAGAGGAGGCACCAAGAGGCCTCTGTGCTTGCTGATGGGAGCAGATGCACCACAGCCTACCACCAACATGCCCTGGGATGGAGCCAGCCCAGGCTTCCACTGGGAACATGACAGGGTTGGCCTGGCTGGTGATGAGACCCATGCCTGAGACTGAGAACACCTGGGCATCTGGCCCAGTGCTGGCAGAGACTGGCAGTATGCCTTGTGCAAGTCTGTTAGCTGCTGCATGGGAGAGGAGGAGGCTCCTGCTCCAGGATTCTGGTTTGAAGCTGGGTTGAATTCCAGTTGCTATGTGACTCTGGCCAAGCCTCTTAGCCTCTCTGATCCTCCAGAGTCAGCAATGAGATGTGGCCATGATATTTTCAAAGCACTTCCCCTCAAGCTGGTTTAGGTGATATTACGTCTGCAGTTTTTCAGAAGCATGGAGAAGTGCAGTGCCAACCCAAAGACACACGTCTTTTCAGAGATGGCGCTCAAAGTCTCCCCCTTGCACTACGAGGGTTTCCTTTAATCCCAGCCTTTCCCACCCTCATATGGGGACTTGCATTTCCCATGGAGCCCAGCAGTCTTGGAGGGAATGTCTTCCTCTCCTTTTCAGATGCACCGTCGAGGATTCAGCCACCTACACCGTGAAGGTGAAGAATGCCTATGGCCAGGCCTCCTCCTATGCCAAAGTCATTGTCCGCAGTAAGTCTTCCCGTCCCCAACAGTCCAGGCTGGACCACAGCAAACCCAAGATGAGTGGAGGACATGGGTCTGCTGTTAGACTCAAGGCAGGGCCCCTGGCATGGGGGTGCTTAGCCTGGATTGGGTGACCAGGGCAGCCACAGAGACTCTTGCTTCTCTGGGAGCCTTTGGAGCAAGGGAGTCTCCTCCCTCAGATTGGCATGGGCCGCAGTGGTGTACGGCACTTCGTGGGCTGCTGGCATATGGCACGGGCAAGGCAGGACCATATGCCCCTGTGGATTGGTGTCAAGAGCAATTAGAAGGAGAGGGAAAGGGCCTTTCCCGAGCTCTCACTGTGCACCAAGCACACTTGATAGTGTCTCATTCCATCCTGAGCTCATCAGTGGCAGGGCTGGGACTTGAACTTGGCTCTGTCTGCAGAGTCATCACTGGCATGCATGGCACCTCTGGGTGAACTGGGTGAATGAATTAAAAAAAGGGGCCCCTTTCCTCCAGGCAGATGCAGTCCCCATGCCAGGGCACAGGGCGTGGCAAGTGGTGAACAGATTTCAGCCCTCACTCACTCTCTCAGTGCACGCCTTTGTGCACGGCACAACCTACACAACTGTTCAGGGCCATCCTACCTGCCCGTCTCCAAAGAACATGCTCATCCCACCAGGTTGGACTTAGGTCCGGATCTAGCTCAGGACCTTTGGGAGGGTAGTCTGGCCCTGTCAATCCTGCTGAGGGTCCTCAGGGGCAAAGGTCAAGCTCCCCCAACTCCCCACCTGACCCCCACTGCCTCACTTGGGTTCTGGTGTGTATTTCCCAGAGGGGCTCAGGCCTCTCCTGGAGGCTACTGCGTAGGCATCTGAAATCTCAGCATGAAGCACGGAAGATGCCCAGGGGTCGGCTGTGCTGCAGACCGGCTGTGTGAGCCTGGGCAGGCCGTCTCACTTCTCTGAGCCTCCATCTCCTCATCTGTGAAAGGGGGAATCCTGCGACCTCCCTCAGATGCTCATGTTGGTTAAATGAGATGATGCAGATAAGCCTGGAGTGAAGTAGGCGCTCGAGAAACAGTAGCTCCCCTCTCCCTCTCTATGGCCAGGGCAGAGCACTGCCCAGGGGGCCACACCTCTGGGCCCAGGAGAATACTGAGCCTGCCCTCAGGGCCTCTGGGGAAGAGGAGCCCCACACACTGGCACACAATCCCAGGGCAGCTGTCCTGGCGGCAGACAGGGTGGAGTCCAGCACACCCTCCCTGCCTCTCATCAGACCTTGTTAAACTGTCCTGCACAGCCCTCTCCACCCCTCTGCCCTGTTCCCCAAATAGCTCTCGGGAGGCAGCTGTCCCCGCTGGCAGGCCAGGCTCTCTGCAGAAATTTGAGCTTTCCTTGTAGACTGTGCCCAGAGTCAAGCCCAAGGTCAGGCATGGGCCTCTGCCTCCCTCAGTCCACCCATCCTTCCTTCCACCTCATCCAGATCCCCGCCCCTCCTTTCATCAAGGCCAGCAGCTCTGGGACCCACTGAGCTCTTCTTGGCTTCAGACTCTGGCTAACCTCCTGCTGAGAGCATCCCTCACTGCCATGTCACCCTCCCCTGCTCTCGTCCCCACAGCAGCTTTAGTGGTCTCAGAAGAAAGCCCCAGGCTGGGAGGCAGGAGCCCTGGGTTCTAGTCCTGAGTCTTCCGCTGACTCTCCATGCAACCTTGGGCAGCCTCATGCCCCTCTCTGGACCTCGCTCGGGAGGGGCTTTTCCAGGTGTCACGTCGTGGCTTCAGAGTGCTTGAGCGTCATCTGTTTGAGAGGATAATAATGGTACAAACAGGGCTATTTTGTGAGGATTAAACGAATTGACGTGTGGCACACAGTAGGCACTATGTGAACCATAGCTGTTCTTATGATCCGCTGGTGATCTGTGTCAATGTCACCTCAGATTTCACCCTGAAGCCTCCAGGTGGCTCTGTCAGGACAGCCCCTCCCCACCACTCTCCCTGACCCAGCAGAAATCCCAGCCCCTCTGACCAGGCTCGTCCTCTGCAGTGACAGTGTGTGATCCTGGCAGCAAGTTGGGGCAGAAGACAGGAACCTGCATTTATTGAGCACCTACTATGTGTTGGGCTCTGGCTGAGGGATTTAGTCATGTGAATTCATTCATTCATAACCCCACCACATCAGATAGGAATTACTATCCCCATTTTACTGATGAAGGAACTGAGGCACAGAGAGGAACTTCCCCCAAGCCACACATGTGTTGGGCTCTGGCTGAGGGATTTAGTCATGTGAATTCATTCATTCATAACCCCACCACCATCAGATAGGAATTACTATCCCCATTTTACTGATGAAGGAACTGAGGCACAGAGAGGAACTTCCCCCAAGCCACAGAGGAGCCACTGACACCCAACCCACACCCAAAGCCCATGACCCCGAATCTAGTAGGAATGTGGGGTCTGAACCTTCTCCAACTACGTTTGCTTTGGGTTTTCAGCTTACCTGGGGAAAGAGGCTGGCTTTGATTCCGAGATCTTTAAAAGTAAGTACACTGCGGGGAGATGGGATAAGGGGTATAAAGAATAAGTATGATTTGTAACAATGAACATGCTAATAAAAAATAAATTTAAAAAATATACAAAAAGTAAAATAAAGTAAAGTAAGTGTGCCGGGGGAGGGATGGGCCTTTGGAGGTGGGGGAGGGTGTCTGGGTCACCTTGTTCAGGCTGTGACCTCCCCATATTCCCTTTTTAGAATACTGCCATCTACTGCCCACAAAGGGATGTGCACTTGGGGCTTGTCTAGAAGCTGTTAATACTTGCAGACTGGCTTCTAAGGGTCCCAAGAGCTGCCCCTGCTGATGAGCTGTCCTCTGACCAAAACTGGGTCAGAAAGGCAATTGGACTTGTCCTCTGGATATTTGCTATTCTGGCTGATCTGTTCCCCACCTAGATAAGTCTCTTCCCCTCCACCTCCCAAGACCAGGCTCCCTTCTTGTCAAGACCACCTCGAGAGCTGTGAATCCTGACCCAGAGGGGAGGGGGACACCCCGGGTGGGTCCTCATGCCCATCTAAGCCCAGGCCAGTCTGGCTGCCTCAGAAGATTTCTGCCCCAAATTTCTGTTCCCACCTAGGATCGATGTTTGGCCCCAGAGTGGAATTCACATCAGTGCTGAAGCCAGTCTTTGCCCGTGAGAAGGAGCCCTTCTCTCTGTCCTGCTTCTTTTCGGAAGATGTTTTAGACTCCGACCAGAACATCCAGTGGTTCCGAGATGGTGAGGACCCCCAGCCCTGGACCCCAGCCTTCAGATGCACCTCCCTCTGCAGCTCAAGGCAGAACCAGAGAGGACAGAAGCCAGAGAGGAACTAGGGCCCTGGCTCCATCCCCAGCCCTGGGACCCCCAGTGTGCCAGTACCTGCTGAATTGCGCTGCAGAGGCAGCAGGAAACAAGCAGACAGCCAGACGGGTCAGACCAAGCCACCCTACAGAGGGTCACCAAGCATCTATGGGGTGCCAGGCCCTGTGCTGGGGCCAGAGCAGAGGGTGGGTACAGATGGGCATGAGCTCAGGGAGCTGTCCATCTGGGAGGAGGGAGGAAACCACCAGCCCAATTGTCACCACTGCCCATTGAGAACCTGCACCGTCAGGCACTGGCTTGGCCCTTTGCGTGCATCATGCATCATGATCACCCTGAGAGTGAGCAGTGGTGGTCAAAGCAACAGGAACAGAGGCCAAGGCCAGGGGCAGGCACGGGTGCTCAGGGCAAGTTGTGACAGTTGCACAGGGCTTTGCAGAGTCAGGGAGTGTGTGCTGCATAAATAGCTGCTGACTCATGGGCTGGGAGGCCTCTGGGGATGTCATGGGCAAGGGCTGGAACAGGCTGATCAGCTAGGGCAGGAAGAGATAGCCCAGCGAGGAAGAGAGGGATGCTGGACCTCCTGCCCCAGCCATGACCAGCCTGCAGCCAAAGACAAGGAGTACAGCCCCCTTCCAGAACTCCCAGCTTTGAGCCCAGGGAGGCTGCACCTGCTGGGACAGGGGGTAGGGGAGGGGGAAGCCATAAGGTGCCCTGAGCAACAGCTGCAGCCACAAGGCTGAGATGCTTCCCAAACCTGCAGATCTTCCAGAAGAGAGGTGCTGACGGGAGGGAGGAGCCGTTGTGCGGGACAGAGAGAAGAGATGGCCCAACAGCGTGGCCCCGGGGCAGGCCCACTCCCTGAGCCCAGAGTCTCTTTCCAAGTCCCCGTCCTCCTCACTGAGGTCCCATCTACTGAGCCTCCACTGTCTTCATTGACCCCGAACCCCCTCAACGAACCCGCCTTCTTTGAGCCCCCAACAGGGACCCATCTCTCTTGCTCCCACCCTCTCACAGAACCTACCACTCCTCACCCAGCCAACGCCCGTTTTCTTAAACTCTCGCTCTCTCATTGAGCCCCCCACCCCCACACGCACACTGGGCCCTGCCCTCCTCCCCAAGCCTTCTGCAGAGGAGAGTTCAGCTGCCACCTTGTCAAAGCCCTGGAGGTCACCACCCCACCCCAAGCCTCAGGCTGCAGCCACACCAGCCCTCCCCTGCCTAGCCAGGGCCTCCAGACCCCAAGAGTTTCTATGGATTCCCAGGTAAGGCCAGGATCCACCATAGATTCATAACGGACCCCTTCCCCTTCTGCAGGGAGGCAACTGAGGTCCTCGGCCCGCCGCCAGACCCTGTACGCAGACCGTCAGGCAACCCTGAAGGTGTCCTTTGCCTACAAGGAGGATGAGGGGTTCTACACGATCCGGGTGTCCTCGCCCCTTGGGCCCCAGCAGCAGAGCACCTATGTGTTTGTGAGAGGTGAGAGGAGTGGGTAGGGGACAGGACGAGCAGCTGGGCCCAGAGACCAGGGCTCTGCCCTTGATCTGCTGTGGGACGTTGGCCAAGTCCCCTGTTCTCTTGGCGTCTCAGTTTCTCTGCAACAAAATTGGGATGCTGGGTCAGACTCTAAGAATCCCTGTGGCATCCTATGATCCTCCAAAAGGACACACCCTGAGTCGGACTTGGTGGAAGTCAGGGCCAGGATGATTCTGGTCACTGGTTGAGTTCTGCTTCCTGGTCTTTGAACCTGATCTGGGTTCAAATCCTGGCAAGTCACTACACTTCTGTGAGACTCAGTTTCCTCATCTACAAAGTGGAGGGTTGCTCTGGGGCTCAGAGATTAATTATGCCAATTATTCAGGTGGTTGGGCCCCTAATAATGGTACTGTCACCACTTCTCCAGATGCTGCTGTTTGAGGGGAGGCTGTTATTCAGGCCCTGGTCCTCGAGATCAAAACTGAGCCCCCAGAGGATTAACAAAAAGAGAATGTTGGGCAGGAGTGGGAAGGGCTTGTTGCCAAATGGCCGCTGACTAGAAGAGCCTCCCCTGTTACCCTTGGATTTCAGATGCTGCAGCGGAGAAGCCCGGAGCCCCAGGCTCCCCACTGAATGTCCAATGCCTGGATGTGAACAGAGATTGCCTCATCCTGACCTGGGTCCCACCCAGTGACAGCCGGGGCAACCCCATCACCTCATATTCCATCGAACTGTGAGTGGACTCTGGAGTGGCAGAGCCCTTGGGAGTAGAATTCTGCTGGGTATGAGGGCCGGCCCGTGGCTCACTCGGTAGAGTGCGGTGCTGATAACACCAAGCCAAGGGTTGA